CAGGTCTAAATTCCACAGCTCTCTGTCCCTACAGTCGAGGTGACATGGACACTTTCAGATGTTTACTCCTGTTTGCACTGCAAATTCCAAGATTGCCTCATGGTGAAGAGAGAAAGAGTAAGGAATGTAGAAGCCTTACAAACTCAGATGCCATAAACTCATCTGAATATGTGACAGGACTCTGGGATAGCAACTCTTGTACTGTTAAAAACAGATTCTTAACAGTGAGTTACTGTGGTGATGGGTTGATTGTCTCTGCTCTATGACTGTAAAATGTACATTTACAGCTGTGCAAACATTAAAAAATGTATCTACAGTTTCTGTGAAGCAGAACCCTTGCTGGGACCCTGTACCTCTTTGGACACCAAGTGGATGCATTCACAACACAGAAGCACACACAGTTTGAGAAGTGGAGGTCACAGAAAATGGTCTGTGAAAGTTGGAGACTAAGGGCAAGAGATAGACAGTGATAAATGGCAGATTGGACACAGATTGCTCTGTAAGTTACAAACACATCTAATAAGAACACTTCAGCACCTCTAACACTTCTAAATGCCATTCTGTCTGCCATCTACTTGTTTGGACTATTGATAAGCGGCATTTATAGTACGGCCAAATGAGTGTTTTTGTTCAGCGTCTAAGTGGTGCTCCACGGGAAAAACACAAATACCTAGTGTAACTCTCATCGGGGGTTCTGGACAATGTCATGCATAATACGCATCATAAACTTTCTCAGGGCACAGAGGAGGCGTGCCAGCTGGTGGGAAAACAAAGACACTCTGTAGTATATACTGCGTGCAGTTCTGTGTTTGGGTAAGTTTGCACAAAATATACGGGCAATCGTTTATGTGTGTTAGGAAGGAGTCAGTTAGGAACCATGTCCTTTTATTCTCATGTAGCAGGGAAGAGCATTGTGCGTCTGCCTGTTTCTCATGAGGACTTACCCATGCTTCTACTCCCCAGACCATAGACGTCTCCCACATGCCCACTGCAACTTTACAGCTATAGCTCTTACTTTAGTTCCTCATACTTAAACGTATGGTTTATACATGTTCATTTTTGTTGTATGCTACAAGTGACATACAAAACACACAGCATAAGTGTTGTATAATGTACATAATCTGCATGAAAGCAGCAATAAACATTTACATTGTCCTGGTATAAGAGTATAAGAGCTCACTTTCCTTTTAGCTCGGTTTTTGCCTCCACCAACTCCCGTGGGAAATACTCCATCATGTTCTCCAGCTTGTTGCTATTTTTTTCTGGCTGATGTTTGGTGCAGGACAGGAAGGGTACAATGGGGTTATCAGAGTTTTTTTTCCCCTGAAAACAACTGTCTGCTTGGGCTGGAAATTATGCTGATGTGAGCAGTGAGATTCAATCAAAACAGGAAAGTTGCAGTAAAACCAAAGCAATGACCTGAGAGGTGCTGATATGCTCTGTAAAACTGAGGGGAACTGCTGAGTCGGGTGATAATTCTCTGTGAATTTGTCATTATGCGTGACCCCTTTCACATTACACATTTGTGCTACTATTAATGTAAAAATGTTGATTAGTGCAGCTTTAAGTTAACTATAAGAACAAATTGAATGCTGAGGTGAGATGAGTTGAAGTAGGGTTTTACAGTATGGAAATGACAGAAGTGAGAGAGGCTACAGTGCTGTCACATGCAGCAGCATACAGTACAACAGGTGCAGGCCGGATGGTGAGAAGCAGTTGTGAGGCCCATTGAGGCTTCATTAATGGAACAGGAAGAGAATTGAAGCACAAGGGCAAACACACACAACTCATTACCCCTTGGCTATCGTGTACCTTTCACACCGCAACTCAAAGTGTGTGCCTGTGTGTGAGTGTGTGTGTATTGCATTTATTGCATTTATATGAGTTTGAGTGGGCGGGTGGGGAACAATTACAAGCTGTGCTCCTTAGAAATGAAAACTGCATATGATCTGAAGGTTGTGGCTTGCACTGGATACACAAACATTGTGGCATTGAAGCTAACAAATGGCTTTAAACTGGTCACCTCATCAATGGAGGATGACATCATTAGAGCTTTTCCACACATATACAAGACAATAAAACAAAAAGAGTAATGTTTCTCACTGTGTTACATACACTGAACATTAAAAACCCAAATTTTGAGACCTTCATCACAAAAGACTGACAGTCCTCAGCTGTCACACACCGAGAGCAGTAAGCTGACTAAGCTGACACTTGGCTGTTGGAGATGCAACAGGACATCCACCCATTTACACCACTGTGTCACTTCGGAACCACACGCACTCACCGTCCCTCATACACACACATATTAAACCACCGTCCACCAAGACACACTGCTGGCCTCTGTTCTGTATCTAAAATCACAAGAACAAGGAAGAGAACGATTGACGCAAAGGAAATGAAAGAGAAAACACACCGTAACAGCTGAGGTACAGTGCAAAGGGGACATGCTCTATGTACATACCTTATAATATTTAGTGGCTGGACACGTCAGAGTTACTAAGTTGTTGTAGACAGGTGTCAAAACTGCCCTGGAAAGTGTCCGTCGTCACACACCAACAAAGAACCTCTGAGAAAAAGAGTATTTTTAGTCCGTGGCTGTGACTGAATGCTCCTTCTAAGTGCTCATCAGACCACTTTTCACCACGTTTAACGCTGACAAATGTTTCACACTGTTGCTATGACAGGTGTAAAAGTAAGGATGTTATTTTTCCTTCTGCTTCCAGACAAATACTGATGTTGAATTTAAACCAATGGAAGATGATCATCAAATGACTGACACAGAAATATGGCAAAATAGACTTTTTTATGTGTCTGTGTACTATATTGAAGTTTTTAAATAAGAATAATACTTTTAATCCCAATGGATAATCAAATATGCTATTTTTAGTTACAGTGCCACATCCAAATTTTACTTAATGGTAATAATACATAAGTATTTACAGTAGTAAATATACTAATCTATCAAAAGTTACAGTATCGATGCATTAATGTAAAATGAATACACTGTAGTTGTAGCACCCATTCACTTGAATTAGAAAGTGTGTCAAAACCTTCGACTGGTACATATATTGTTATGTTCTGGACATCCATTATGTACACAATTATTCATTCAATACACTTTTAATACATTTTATAGACTAGTGGGACAGCTGTTGATCAGTTGTCGAGTAATGACAAGTTTGTATGTGTGTCACATGTTACTTTTTGAAATGGAGGCCATGAGCTGAGACAGGAGGTAAGTCACAGGGACACAGACAACCGTTGACACACCTCTGAGCATCTGTGTGATTCATTTTTGTGACAACCGCACTGCTCACGTTGTGAAATACACAAGGGAACATCATTGGAGTAATGTTACCCAAATAACAACATTTTTAGTAAGGGCCATAATAGTGCGATGGAGGTAGTGACCTACATGTTACTCCGGAGAAGGTTCTCATGTGCATTGCAGTGTAATGTAATGTAAGATTAGAAAGCAACTCTTTAACAGCATTCATAGCATGTACTACATCCCACTGTGGAAATGTAGGGTACACCTGCCCTCGAAGTGACAATGTAAGTAGAGTAAGATTTTACCAGGGGGAAAAAACAGAAAGCTGTGTGACACAACACATTTTATTTAGATTATGTCTTTATAGTAAATCAAAGGAAAGAAAAAGACTTGTTACAAAGTGTATTAAATATAATGTCTCATGTTCATAGTGAGATAACCAGACAAATAATTCCCACAGCAGGGCTGCACAATTGACAACATCAGGTAGAGACATAGCAAACCAAGAGTTTCATTGCATTGATAACTTGTTTATTTCTGAATATAACAATAAAACCTTTAAATCCAGGGCGCCCGGTTAGCTCAGTCGGTAGAGCTGGCGACCCATATACTGCAGCGGCCTGGGTTCGAGTCTGACCTGCAGCCCCCTGCTGTATGCCATCCCCCGCCCCCGCCTGCCCGCCCCCAGCCGTCCCTGTCGAATAAAGGCATAAAAAAACAAAATAACTTTAAAACCTTCGAGTCCTTGAATCAACATACCTCGACCAGGGTGTGCAGGAACCCTAGCAGAGCGGAGAGAGACGCTGAAAGCATATATAGACTTACTAACAGGAATTTATTTCTAGGACACTGATGTGGAAATTCACCCCTTGACTGTATGAGATAGAAGTATCACAGCCACAGACATCTTCATGTCCTGTATTACTGAAGAATTTGCTATTCATAACAAAGAAGTGTTCAGTAAAATCCAAATATATATTTTGTTCACAATTCCAGTGAAGAAAACTTCTTTATTTGACTGTTAAATCTAAGGTTTAATTACAGCAAAACATCATACTTGTTTAGGTCATATTTTGAATACTAAATCTTAGTCTATAAAGTACCTTTGAGCTACAGCTGTCAGAAAAACTGAATTACTGAATTGTCATTAAGTGTCATTAACAGAAAGGTAAACATATTTAGTTGCTTCTCTACTAAAAAGATCATAATGATACATTTAAAGACTACATAACAATATATGACATATTTACTGAATTTGAACAATGATGCATGAGTATGTGTGTGTGTGTGTGTGTGTGTGTGTGTGTGTGTGTGTGTGTGTGTGTGTGTGTGTGTGTGTGTGTGCGCGTGCATCCTTTTTTCCCAGGTGTGTGCCAGGACAGGTGATCTTAAACAACCAGCTCCAGTGTGTCTGGCCTCATACACAATTACTCTTTTTACTGCACATAGTGGCCCATAGATCACAACATTAATGAGGGAAACATTCCTGTTTATCATTGTCATCCACTGTGGGCTCTCAGCAGGGGGATGTGAGCGTGTTTTGCCACTATAAATTATAACTTTTTGGGAGGTTATATTTACTCTCAGTCAAGTCTCCATCCCTCCCATCTCTCTCTCTCTCTCTCTCTCTCTCTCTCTCTCTCTCTCTCTCTCTCTCTCTCTTCCACCCACCGGAGTGGCTCCACCCTCCAGCAGATATAAACTGTGTCCACAAGGTGTGCGTCTGTTATGAGCACATATCCCAGGGTTCCTTCTGTGTGGTTGTCTGTCTGCCTGCTATTCTGTCTGTTAGTCTGACGGCAGTGATTATTTCCTCATAAAAGGCGACTCACAAAGGTAAGCATGGTCCTATTCTCACTATATCCTGTGTTTCATACAGTGTGCGTTTGATTTTAATTATATTATCAGTTTATTTATTTTATACAAGTATTTTCTTGTACATTTGCCTGAAAGTTGTTTTATTGCCTTTAATGAATTGTGCACTCTGTGAGTTCAGTTGTCAGTTGCCGCTAGCCTACATACAATGCATCCTATACATCTTCTAATGAGTAAACTTAAAGTTTGGTTTCATTGTAATTATAATATGGCAGGAATGCATGGCAAAAACATTTGATAGGCTGAATAGGAGCTTATTATAACATTCAAAACAGCACTTTTTTTCACTTTTTTATTTGACGTATCCAACCTTAGCTTTGATTAAAGCTTCAAACAGAAGCTCTCATTTAACAATAAATGTGTCATAGTGACAGAAATTAAATGTGATAGCTCATAAATATGGCATTAAGCTATGGAGTTAGCATCTTTTTTGCACATCATCTTCCTGGAGTGAAGCTGGCAGAACGTTTCCTGAGCTAGAGCGGTGTTTCCCAGGCTGCCACTTGCACAGCATCCCTAGTTCCTAGTTTGCTTTCTCCAGGGCTCCAGAGAGTTGAAGTATGTGCTGTACATCCATCTGTGTTAGGATGCCTGTGCTGAGGGCAAATATGCATTCAGATGTTTACTGTGCATGTGTGTGTGTATGCAGAAAGCTGAAGCCAAACTGTCAGATGAATGTGATGAGGGCAAGGGCAGCAGTTTGGTGAGAAGAGACTGCAGAGCAAACACTGTCTTTTCTCTGAGCAGCTCTGTCTCTAATGCTCTTTCTCTGTCATTACTCATCTGTTTGGTGCCTTGTCAGTCACAGTGGCATTTGAATGATTCGCTCACCAAGACATGAAATCTTCATGACTTGGTTATATTCTGATCCAATATTCAGAACGTACAAACTGAGGAAAAGATCTCAGGGCTCGTAAGTTGAGCTTATGATGAGCAAACACGCGTCTTCATTAGACAATGTGGGTTTTCTGGCCAGCCATCCTGTTCTGATATACAAGTCAAAGCATTTTACAGAGACTACAGTTCTTTAGCTGCATGATTATAAATGAGAACAATATAAGGAAATATTTTTGATTTTGGTGATTAGCTGTAAACATGTAGCATCAGCACAGATCTGCTAGTCTCCTCAGAAAAATTAGATCAAATGTCTTCTTCATGTTATTGGCGTGCTCTTGTTTTTATTATTAATACATAGTTTTGTATTTGCTGTACTCTGGTCTGATCTGTGTGCATGATGTTCAGGGACCTACAGTAAAATACACATTATATTGTGTGCAAATTAAACTAATAAATTAAACTAAAACTTTTTTTAAGCAATAATTTTGCATAGAGTGTCTTTCATCCTTTCTTCATTGATTTTACATTGCATCATGGCACAAAATCAGTGTATGGAGTGTGTGAAAAGTGCTACAGAAGACCTTCAAATATAGCTGGTCCTGTGCACAAAAAGTGACCATTCAAATAGAGTGTGTGTGTGTGCATACAGGATTGTACCCCTCTGCATACATTATCCAGCAAACTTCAGGAATGCACAGGACAAAAGGACCCAATGAAAAGCAAGAATAATGGTAGAGGGAAAGAAGTAAACACGTTGCTCATTTAGCTGCACAGCTGTGGCAGTGTGTGTGTGTGTGTGTGTGTGTGTGTGTGTGTGTGTGTGTGTGTGTGTGTGTGTGTGTGTGGAGTAGCTGTATCCCTCTGGTTTGTGTACGAGGTTTGTTTGAACGAGGACGTTTGCTGCACGACTTGAAGAGGTGTTAATTTTATGAGGTGTGCTTTGTGATAAAAGCTGCGTTTAGGGAGCTGAAGAGCTGCAAATGTTTTTCCCTTTCACTGAGAAACCACAACGTCAGGGCACTTACCAAGATTGAGTGCAAGAGTACTACTGGCTTAAGGTTAAATTTGTAAATGGTTTGCGGTGTAGGGAGGGAAGGCAGAGTGGTTTTCCAAACATGTTCAGTGGGATTTAAACACTGTTTTGGTCAGGCTGCCTGTTAGATGCAGAAGGAGAAACTTAAAGACCTACGTAATTTGGCCGAATGAGTGACTAGTTTTTGTGCTAAATGCTTCTGTAATGCTCCTTTTCTCAGACACGCACAAGCAAAAGTTAATACACATGCACGTGTGCTCATGAAAGAACACTTAAGCACCAAAAGATTTATTGTTCGAGCTTAAATCTTTGAATTCGATTAATACAATTTGACCTGTCACATCTCATCACTCACTACAGGCCTTTCTGTAGTGCCTCTCCCTGCTCTGTTAACAAGGTGGTTTAAAGAGACACACAGTCTCGGCCTCTGACTTCCACCCCAGCCTGCAAGGTCACTGAGTGGCTTCAGGTCACTGAACGGGGCTGTCTCCAAAGGGAGAAAAGGGCCGGCAAGGGCAGACAGACTCGAATTGAGGCAGAGAGTGAAGATGGTGCAGAACAGGCATGGCTCTGTTCACACAGGAAGAAAGGGAGACGGTGTGAGGAGACCGGTCTGTATCTGACAGAAGAGAGAGAATAGACAGATGTGTCTGGAGACAAGGGGACAGACACAGAGCTAATATTTCCATCTTAGTCTAATGCATGAGAGGAGAGATAAAAAAGTCCTTTTGAGGAAGTGTTGCACATTGACTGTACGAGTTTGGCTGCCCTGTCCCATCAGCTGAGCTCTGTCATTGTGTGTGTGCATAAGCAATATAAATCCAGGACACCAGAGACAGGTGTGTTTCCATAAGTGAGGAATCAGCCAGCAGCTCTTTACTCATTCCAGTCCAACATTGTTAGGTGTTGGCTCTGATGCAAATTACACCAACTTATGGAGAAATAAACTATATCTTTTACATTAGTTACATTCTGTTGGGTCTCAAGGCCTAACAATCTCTTTGTAGTTACTATTTGTGCCTTTAATTCTCTTGGCTCTAACGCAGAATGACAATATGATTACAGTCTGTCTTCCCTTTCCCCCAAAATATGTCAGCCTTTGTTACTGAAATAGATGAAATCATTTATTAATGGCTCCTAAATCCAACTTTAACTCTTGAAACTAAAGCAAACCTGCACCTTAGAGCTTAGCATTACACAAACCTGTTACTGTTTCAGTAACTTATATGTAATAATAAAAATAATAAATATATTAAAACATTTGTAGTTTAAATAGTCAACTTTTTTCTCTTGTTCTTTGCATTGGGCCTATTTTAAAATTACATTCCTCCTTCAGGTTTGAAGCTGCTTAATGTCGATGTAATGTAGACCTTCCTCCTGGCATGTAATGGTAAATCAGCTGAGGTTCATATCTTGATAGCCTTATTCTTCCTTTATACATTTGTTCAGGGGGTTGCACAGCTGCTGCGGTTTTAATGAGATGCTGGAGATTTCAGCTTGTATAAACCGCAGTAGTCGACACCTCAGCTTCTGCTGGTTGAAGATTGACTCAGCAAAAACAACATCTTACAGACACATGATGCCCGTGAGTCCTCTCGCGTCACACACCTGATGGTCAATTTACTGTGTGTCGTTTATGTAAAATGTCAAAAAGATGGACATCTGGAAGTAGTCGGGGAAACAGAGGCACACACACATACACACACATTACATACATTGTAGACTGCTTTGAGGTTTGCTTATTTTTGAGACTGTCTGGGCCAGGCAGGACATGCTGAGAGCTCAGTGGTGTATGACCAGCAGCCACACATGATTTTGGGAGCAGATGTTGAAAAATTAGGGTCGTAACTGCCAATATTTGTACCTCCTTGTCCCCCTGGGCTGTTATCTCATGGTTAATGTGTTGGGTTATGTTTGAGTGACAGAACTCTCTGAAGGCAACAGGATGTGGCAAGTGTGAATAAAGCAAAAGAATAATATTGTGCTATTTCACTCTGATTAGATAGAGACAAATGCGTAGGAATATACTGTTTACTAAATATACTATATATATATATATATATATATATATATATATATATATATATATATATATGCATTTATAGCCTGAGCAAATTTGCAATAGTTGTAAATGAAAAAAAAAAGTTTTAGGCACACTAGTGGCATGGCTGACAGCAATGTCGGGTCACCACTTTTGTCCAGACTTTCTCTATCTCTATCTCTGAATCTTTTTGATGGATTGTCATAAACATTTGGCCATCTATGGTCCCCAGAGGATAAATCCCGTTGACTTTTGTGATCCCCTGACTTTTCCTCTGGTGCTGGTACATGCCTGATCACTGAGATCAGAAACGGTTTCAACTTTGACTGTAATCCATAATGGCACAAATCGTGTGGTTGTTCTTTGGTCTACAATTTTTCCAGTATGTGTGCATGTATGCCTCACAAACAAACCAGTATGGAAAGGGTGTGAACTGAATGACACATGGGTGACATCTGCCTCCCATGAAAATGTAGAACATGGTTGCTGTTCCTGTTTAGTCACTGTTACAAATAACTGCTTGTCAGAGAGTCATCAGTGAGCCAAATTGTTTGACACCAGAGTGTGAAAAATTAAACAGTAAATTGTACAGATGTGAGAAACAGCTCACAACACGCTACTCATGCCATCATGACTTCTCACAGCTGTGGTGCTTTTATATATGACTTCATGTCTGACATCTGTATAGCTGCAGATGGAGGGATGACACCACCGTTTTAAAATCAAGTTATTTTGTAGGATTTTTTGTTAACCGCACTCTTCTTTCTGTCTGTGTTCTCCAGTAACAAGTTAAAAGGTGGAAACTGCTGGTTAATGTTTATGTCAGAGTCTGAAAGTAGTTCTCTGGAGGCAACACTTATGCAGAATAATGTGTTGGAGAGAAGCACACCAGGTAAAGACAGGAGGTGTTTCCATCACTCTGCGGTCGGCATGACAACGCTGTGGTGTTGCTATGTGACACTGAACAGGCCCTCGTTGTACGGTCTCTCTGATCTGTAGTCGTAAGTTTTGTCAGAATATTTCCAACCCTTTAAAAACACCTATACATGAACGCACACACACACACACACACACACACACACACACACACACACACACACACTGAGCTGGGACGTTCCTAAAAGGTAGTATTATTTTCTTAAACCTTTTTATGTGTATATATATATATGCACACACGTTCACACATTTCAATAATGATTTTGATGTGTCAAGTTGTAGATCAGATCTAATTTTTCAAAATAGTAGTATTTCCATGTTCTCATTAAGAGATGAGGTACAGATGGGAACATTCAATTGTATGTCTGGGCTCTCGTGCTCTTAAAGCCTCTCCATGTTGCTGTTGTGTGTTGTGGAAAATGGAGAAGAGCGACTGTGTCTGGCGTGCTATTAGATAGTGAGTGAAAGTTTGATTTCTCTTCTTTTTCACAAAACCTTAAAACTGGCTTTTGAAACACTTTTGATGGATTTCTTCTTTGAATATTTGTTGGCAAAAGTGCGTCTGAATATTTAATCTGACAAATGTCTTAGCATCAATGCACCTCTTTCTACAGCGTAAATATAAGTATATAACCATCCGATTGCTTATTTATGTCCTCAGGCCACACACTTCAAATGCACTCCCATCTTATTCAGCCTCTTAACAAAGCAGTATCCATTCTTACTATTATCTCCATTGTAACAGTCTGGGAACAGTGACGCAGCCTCACACAGACAATAGAAAAGGCTTGGTGCTCAGGTTAGTTTGTGTCACACCTTACACTCAAAGATCAATCCTGTTCATTTTCTTCACTTCTGTGTACAGACCACAACTTCCGCTCAGTGGGAGAAAATAGGTTCCAGTTCTTGTTGGGAAAACTCAGTGGCATTCCTCTGGCCTCTTTGGCATGTCTGGCTTCTAGGGAAACTAAGGAGGCTTCTTTCAAAGGCCAGCAGTCATCGGAGGAGACAGTGGCACGGCCATGTCAAAATCACCAGTCGACTGAGAAAAGGTCAAAGGGCAGGGCAGATCCAAAGAGCCAGTGATGGAGTGGACACTAAGGATGTGGTTTAGGATGTGAATTATAAAAACCACAGATGAGTTGTAATAAAATTGGGACTGGGATTGCAGTTGAACCTGGATGGGGAGTGTGGCAGGAGATGAGTAGACTGAGACTAGGATGGAAATGGCACTTGACTTGAATGACTGAATAAAATGAGTGGACACTCAAAGGAGCAGCTAAAAGTGAGTTATTCATTGACTGCAGAGCCAAAGAAAACCCCTTTGCCGTGCTCCGTCACTAACCATTTGAAGCAGAAAACCTAGGGACTTAAGACATAAATAGGAGGTCTTGACTGCAGAACTGGAGCGCAACTGTGTTTGTTCAAAATGAACTTGTTGGACCTGACGTCTGAATGCAGGCCAAAATCAGACATTAGACAGGCACTATCGAAATAATTGATTCTTCCTCAGCAGTGTTACAAGTCCTGTTTTTGGATGTGTGTTGCCTCTGACAGGCAAGTGGCTTTAGATGTTTCACAATACTCCTCCCTGTATCCCCTTCTTACTGGAATTACTGTGTCATTAATGAGATGTTTTGTTGTTCTGGGATATATTTTGTGTGTATTTCAGTGCCTGACCGAATATGTTGCAATAATGCAGGAACAACAAGAATGCTCTTATTAATACCAGAGCGAATGGTGAGCACATCAGTGAGTTAACTGGGAGGTGGAATTCAATCATCTGCATTGTGTACATTGTCCTTACATAAAAAGAAATATGTTCTGTAAATATGCGCTTATCAGTACAGTGACAGGACTGCACACCTAACCTCTGTAAAGCTGCAAGGTGCATTGCAGGGAAGTCAGAAAGTAGCACTGATTATTCATGTACCTAAGCATCTTTAGTCAGTTGGCCCAAAGGTATAATTATTAATAATATATTTACTATATTATTTAAGTTTCAGTCCAAAATATGGACATCAAGGGAATTGAAAATAATATTCTGTGTGACATTTAGTGTGGCTCCCTCTTGTGGATAATTATAATAAGTGCAGTTTATCCCAGCATAGCCTGTGAGAGTGACACATTGTGTGTGCAGCAAAGCATTAACAGTGTACCATATACATTTCAGCTTAGGCTCATTATTTGTTGCAGAACACCATATCAAAAGCCAAGATGTATCACTGCCTTCATAGAGTCACTTAACGTTTCTGAAACATTTGGTAGTTAAAGGGAGTTGAAAGCTGAATATGGTCTTATATTTAAGAATATATCATCTTTAGCAGGATTTTGAAGAATTCCCAGCCTTTTCCATTCAAGTCCAAGTGATTGTTCAACTTTTCCTTAGTAGAAATATGCACGAAAGGTCTGCCAAAGAGATCAGTCCAACATAACTCAAATAGATTTTTGTTGATGATTTGTTTGGCATTACTTCATGATATAGAATTAGAAAAGGTACTAAACGAAATAACAACAAAGCCTAACAAAGGCTGACAAATTTAGGCTTTAAAACATGAACAACAAATGTGTTTAATAGAAACTTTTCAATGGCTTCCTGTTAGTGATACAATTTATGGTGGTTTCATTGAATACTAGAATAATTATTATAATATTAATAATATTCAGTTTCACACTGGTAGAAATGCCAACGGCAGTCAACTGTAAATTGCATAGACTTAAGCAGCCCATTTATTTCAAAGTTGAGCAGAAAAAGAAATGAACAACTTTCTGACATGTGTCTGCCTATAGCAATATTACATTGTTGACACACAGCATGTCGTTCCAATGTATATCCTGTAGAGGGAGACAGAGTGTGACCTCCCATTGCCTGCATTTGCAAATAAGGTTGTCCACTTGATTCATACACCTGAAGGTTCCTGATCAAGAAATGCTAAGCAGCTACAATACCAATGTTTGATTTACCAACTAATATAAAGGATTTAAAAACAGATGCAGCCTTCCCTCATATCTTGTCTTCTCTACTTTCCATACAGGTCTCGGCCATGCCTCCCCTCCCTATCCCCCTCTTCCTGACACTGCTACAGCTTCTAGTACTTACTTATGTGAGCGGTGGGGCATACTATGGACACAAGCAACACCCTCAGCAATACCAGCCGATGCAGCACCTCCAACACATGGGCATGGGCAAAGAAGGCTTTCCCCAGCAGCAGTACCTTGGAAAAGAGGTGCCCTATATGCAGTATCCCCAGTACAGGAAGGAGCTACCCCAGATGCCCATGCACAAGGGCAAAGAAAATGCTCGTAAAGGGGGCGGCTATAATGGTGGCCAAGACAAAGGTGAGAAAGTCCAAATTTTCAACAATCTTGAAACATGTGACATGACCTACTGAAACATGACGAGGGAATGTTTCTTTATTTTGAATGGCATATAGTAAGTTATTTGTTATACTGAAGCACCAGGGAAGAAACAGCTTTTGGCAATTTCTGGCAACAACCAAAGCTTTCCACAGATTCATCATTTCTGGTTGAATATTTATCTCACGCTTCACAGGTCAGACAATCCCTAGTGGCGCTGAGGGAATTCCCCAAGGAGAGCCAGGACCAGCAGGGCCACCTGGGCCAGAGGGACCATCAGGGCCTCCTGGACCTCCAGGTAATGGACAGCCAGGACCTGCAGGACGACCCGGACCTCCTGGTCCACCAGGAGTGCCTGGAGTGGGTAAACCAGGTTTGTCAGGACAGCCAGGCAAGCCAGGGGGAAATGGTGAGGCTGGACCACAAGGAGAAATGGGCCCTAGAGGTGAAGAAGGGCCATCTGGACAACCAGGGCCTCATGGTCCCCCTGGACCACCTGGGCTACCAGGAATAGGTAAACCAGGGGTACAGGGATTACCAGGCCAACCAGGGCCTAAAGGAGAGCCAGGTCACAAAGGTCTGCCAGGACTTCCAGGATTACCAGGACCCAAAGGAGACAAGGGGATGGGCCAACCAGGACAACCTGGTCACAAAGGGCTCCCAGGGCTCCCAGGCCCTGCTGGCCCAAGAGGGCTGCCTGGTTTCGGAAAACCTGGGTTAAATGGGGCACCAGGACCACAAGGACCACCAGGAGAGAAAGGACATCCTGGAGAGCAAGGACCAGCTGGGCCACCTGGTGAAGGAGGACAACCTGGCCCACCAGGTGTACCTGGTCAAGGAAAACCAGGTCAAAATGGCTTACCAGGACAGCCAGGCATGCCAGGTGGGAAAGGTCATCCAGGACCACCAGGTTTGCCAGGAAAGCCAGGACTGCCTGGATTTGGTAAACCAGGACTCCCAGGACCAAAGGGAGACAAAGGTATGAGTGGGCCACCAGGACCTCCAGGAACAAAAGGAGATAAGGGCTATGGAGGACTGCCTGGTATGCTTGGACCTCCTGGACCAAATGGTCTACCAGGTGCTCCAGGCCCTATGGGACCCTCAGGAGGTTTAGGTGCACCTGGTCCTAAAGGAGACTGTGGAGAAGGAGGACCTAAAGGGCTTGATGGAGCTCAGGGTGAGCCTGGTCCTTCTGGTATGCCCGGTAAGGATGGTCTGCCTGGAGAGCGTGGAGAACCAGGACCAAGAGGTCCACCAGGAACAAGTGGTCCCAAGGGAGAAGGTGGGCATAAAGGTCTACCTGGTACCCCTGGCACTCCAGGCCTTCCTGGGCCAAAAGGACAAGGTGGGTTACCTGGTGAAGGGGGACCTCAAGGTCCTAAAGGAATCCCTGGAATGGACGGTGCAGCAGGACCAATTGGGCCTCCTGGTCTTCCGGGGCAAAAAGGAGACAGTGGTCCACCTGGTTCACCAGGCATTGCAGGTGAGGGGATACCAGGTCTTATTGGTCCCATAGGACCCCCAGGAAAAGATGGCTCCTCAGGACCCCCTGGACAACCAGGTCAGTCCGGCCCTCCTGGACCACCAGGCCCCCCAGGAGAACCTGGTCTTTCTCCCGACATGGCTGGAGTCCTCTCTCAGATGGGCCCTGGACTAGATGGTGTTAAGGCTGGTAGTTATGGTAAGAAGGGCAAGTATGGAGGCAATGGGGCAGAAGTAATGGGTGCCAGTGGGTTGGAAATGCCAGCATTCACAGCTGTAGCAACAACTCCCTTTCCACCTGTGGACACTCCAGTTGTCTTTGACAAGCTGTTGTACAATGGTCGCCAAAACTACAACCCTGAGACAGGAATTTTCACCTGTGACATGCCTGGAATTTATTACTTTGCCTACCACATTCATTGCAAAGGAGCTAATGTGTGGGTGGCTTTGATGAGGAACAATGAGCCAGTGATGTATACATATGACGAATACAAAAAGGGTTTCCTAGATCAAGCATCAGGAAGTGCAGTATTACCTCTACAACCTGGGGACACTGTATATATTCAGCTGCCCTCAGATCAGGCATCAGGACTTTATGCTGGGCAGTATGTGCACTCCTCCTTTTCCGGGTATTTGTTATATCCGATGTAAAACACAAACTCCAGGGAGAGAGAGGCTTCAGTGGGAACAAAATGGGAGCATATTTCTGTACAATATAAAACATAATCATAAACCAATTTAGACTGAGCAGTCTTGTTAATGTAAAGTCAACAGACTATTGATCTTGTCAGCAGAGATGAGAGAACAAGATAAAATATCTCGAGGAAAATCTGAGGTATATGATGGTATGTATATACGGCAGCTTTTATAGTGTATAGCCTTATAGCCATGTAATTGGGAGAGCAAAGATGTTTTCTTTTACAGCTTTGAAGGTATAAAAGAATGTATAAAAAGGAATTCAAGAAAGGCATTCAAGAACAACCAAAGATGGCTGTAGATGTATTTTCATACAGAAGATTGCAAAAAGAAACGTAAGAGTGTGAAAACATGTTAAAGGAACAAGTGAAGTGTATGTAAAAGAAAACAAACAATTTTGGTTACACTGTTGCAACAGTGTCAAACTTTGTCCCTTCACCTCTTCAAAACTGGCAGCTAGCCTACCCCATGTAGGGTGAAGAATGTGAAATACAGTAGAACGTTCATTTTGGGAGGACATTTATATTTTCGCATGCATACCTTTATATAAGTACAGTTTTTGTCTCTCTGTTGATGATGGCAAGGATGTAAAATGACTTCTTGAGAATGAAATGCATTACAGCAGTACATGTTTTAGAGGTAAATGCACTTCTGGTCGTGTAACCTGCAGACGACATTGATTTTTGGGAAATGGTTAATTGTATACAATCTAATTCAGATTTTCAATGTATAAATCTCTCAATCATCCCTACTGAAGAAGAAAATGCTAAATACAGTGTGGGATTAACCTAAATTACTTTTACTTCAGGTGTCTGAAGTACATATTCTAGGGACAACTTTTAATGGCAATGTGCTCACTTATAGCATAGCACAAGAAAGGTTAGATGGTCAAAATCAAATAATCTCATGCATGATATATGTTGATGACTGACAATTGCTCCCGTGAGTGAGATTTGAAGAGTAAGAATGTAATATGAATTTAATGTTTTAATGTTTGCATATAGGTCTATGGGTGTAGTGCTGTACAGAAAACATTTTTTTGTGCAAAAATGCAAAGGTCAAACAAACACGCCATATTACCCTGAACTATGAAAACCACTCCATACACTATGTTAAACATTACAGCACAATATACAGCAAAGTCCACACTATACAGCATTACGCAGGTATAAGTGATAAATGGTAAATATCAGAAAGCAAACAGATGTAACTACAATATAACACTCAACAGAGATTAAGCAGTGTTGATCTCAAGACTCTAAATTTGATTACTTTAATTTAAAAGCAAATCAAAATCATTTTAGTAATAAGTTAATATAAAATATATCCTTACTTACTGTTTTTAATTTAAAATTCAACCAATTATATTGTGTAACTGTTTTGTAAGCCTAATCCATTTTTAGTTGGAATGGCAGTATAATTATACATAAAAAGGTGTCATATTTGGAAAACACAATTATGGATTGCTGTTTTGAAACACTTACAGCAGACTTGTTATGAAGTCCCACTGGTGTGTTTATTTGTTTAAATGAGAACACCAAATTAAGTTCCACAGCATCCTTGGTGTGATACATTTAGTGTGTCCTGCTGTCACGTTTATGGGGAGTACAAAATACATTTGTATTGTCTTGAAAGTCACAGCAATTTTATAACAACAGTTCTGTCAATAATTTATTATTTTATCTGCTGGTCCAGTACATGCAGTGACAAGGACATACAGCATGACAACCTTTTAAAGGAAAATAAATGTATATTTCTCCTTTTAACCATGGTGCTATTATTGTCGTTGTAACCAAAGATTTGATCTTAATGTTTGTTATTGTCCATGTTGTTTTTTTCTAAATAAAACTGTTTAATTAAAAAAACTGTTGTTGTTGACATTTCTATTTCTGAGCTCACAGAAAGCATATCAAACCCATTTGACTAAGGCTGGTAAATCATATCATAACTGCTTCATTACGTTTACTGTGGGGGGGTTTTCCATGAGAGACTGTAAGAAAGGCCAATTACTGAAAAATGTCGGCAGGATTGTCGGGTCACACCCATACTGGTTGACACTTCAAGTGTGATTTCCTAATGGTAAAATAACCTGGTTGATGATCAATCTGAGAGCTGGATACCATAAAAATGTATAAGGTAAGTCAATGTGACATGGATGACATAGATGCTCAGTAGTTTTTGCTGTAGTTCGACCGACACACCATCCGCACTGACCCAGCTTCAAAACCACGGGCGTATTAAGGGAGGAAGAGATGCTGATGCTGAGGTAGGAGGTCCCTGGGTTGAAGAGAGTCTGCGCTTGCGCAGAAATATTTACATCCATCTGTCACATCTTTTGTTAGTACAAATTCAAACGAGGAGCTCAGCCAAACGTTTAAGACATACGCCACGGTAAGCATTGTTAGTTATCATATTTTTATGTGGTTGTCGTCGTTATTGTAATCTCTGACAATAAAACGACGCTAGATTTAACACACAGTGTGGATCTGTTTAAAGGTAGAGCCGAATAAGGTCAGCTAGCAACAGCAGCTAACGCGCTGACTAGGCTGCTACAACAGCAACACCTAGTCTGCCTTAAATGAGTCATATTCTGTTTAAATGGTTATTATCACCATACAATCAGAGTTAGACTACGGTCTGGTTTATTCTGGTTGATTTCATGGTATTGTTAATTTTCTCTCCCCTCTGATAACATCTTTGAATGTCTGTAGTATATTTTGGCTTTGGACTGCTGCCATTATAAATTAATTTGAAGACATCACCTGGGAGTAAAGGGGGGGATTGTGTTGGGGCATTTTTGCACTGTTTCTGGACATATTATAGACCATATGATTATTATAGACCACACAATTAAATAATTAAAATAATAGTTGCAGTCCTTGTTCTGTTTTGTGTTTTGTGTGTCAGGTTTCTGTCAACATGACATCACGTGTTGGCCCCAGAGCTGCTGGTACCAATGGAAGTGAGTTTAAACACAGAGAGAGAGTGGCTCCACAATACCAAATGAGGTAAGTAGCCGTTATCTGTACCTGATGTCGGCCATTAAATATGAATGTTTTCTCTGAACAGCAACAATAGCAACAAGGATCACTAATACACCTCGCTGTCCTGTTATCCATTTTACAGTGCTTCCCTGAAGGCAGAGGTACGGAAGTTAAACCTGGTCCACCTTCTCATATGGCTGCTGGTGGCGGCACAGATGACTGTCAGCCACTTCCAGCTTGTGTCACATGACACTGTGTCCATGCCGTACCAGTGGGAATACCCCTACCTGCTCAGCCTCCTCCCCCTGCTCTGCAGCAGCCTGTCACTTCCGAAGAACAATATCAGTTACCTGGTCATATCCATGATCAGCGCAGGGCTGTTCTCTGTGGCACCTCTCATTTATGGGGGAATGGAGATGTTTCCCGTAGCGCAGCAGCTCTACCGCCATGGGAAGGCCTACCGCTTTATTTTTGGGTTCTCTGCAGTGACTGTTATGTACCTCATCATGGTGGTTGCTGTTCAAGTACATGCCTGGCAGTTGTATTACATGAAAAAGCTGTTAGACTCATGGTTCAACACCACTCAGGAGAAGAAGAAGAAATAATGGCGTGAAGGGAGCTGTGACTGGGCAAAACTGTGTTTTCATCTTAATTTATACTCAAGTTCTGAGTTTTATTCATGTTTACTTATAGAGTCATCATTATCATGTAACATCATATGTTTAACGCCAGTATTTTCGGACATAAATTTAAATTAGAGTAAGATGTACAATTTGTGCAGGAACCTGGATTTTTCATCACCATTATTTATTTAAAGCAGATGAAGGGTGTCTAGCACACACAACCGGGAGTGGCATCAAAGCAACATCTGTAAACATGGCATTCAATCACTTTACACCCTCTTCATCACTGAGTATACTAGACTGCAGTTTTTCTCCAAACAGACAAGTAGGTCATTTAGGACCAGGACAATGTTGCCATGATTTGAACAGAATAGCTGTAGAGGTGTTTATACCTTTACAAGTACACCAGTGAAGGTATGAATCTTCCAACGTATACATTTTGCTTAGAAATTGGGATTGTATGTGTTAAAAGAAGTAGGTTTTCCTTTCCTGCTGATGTGCTGATGTTGTCTGCTTCATTAGGTCTACCTCTCACAATATATATTTTATAAGACATTACAAAAGAAAGGTGGTAATCTCGGTAACTGCCTGTACTGTTATGTTTTGAGGTAATCTCATTCAGCATCATAAAGCCAGTTTATTAAGCCTGTCCCATGAATAAATTATGCATTGTCAACTAAATAAAAATAAAACAAATGCTGTTAAACTTGCTACAAGTCTGATGATATTTTCAATTTGGTGAGTCAATCACAATCACAACGCACTTCGTCCCAGATGGTCTGCGGCTGCGCGCAACGAATGCCACGTACTGGTTGACGTTTCCAGTTCGGAGGACACTTCCTGATGCTGGCACCCGGGTCTAGCTAGGCTAGCTAACAGATTTGATTTTCACGGTTTGGGGAGACCTGTGAAATACAGCGTGGTCACGTCGTCTGATTCAGGTAAAAGACTCTCTTTTGTTTGGGGTCCAGCTATAGTATGATTAATCTTTCGTCGCACACACTCCCTGTTTGAGTGCTATGTAACGTTAGCTAGCTAGCAAGCTAAGCGGTTAGCTTCCGAGCTAGCTAACTACATTACGTTCGCTAGCTACGTAGGGAGCTAGGCTAGCTCTCCCAAACAGGTGTCGGGACTGATTCTTAGGAAGTTACTTACAAAAACACAACTTCCTAATCTTTTCTGATTTGCGGAAGGCAAAATTGATAACGCTACAAGTTAGGAGTATGCTAACCTAGCTCTGAATGCCTGTTAAAGTAACGTCAGCTGTTAAAAGTTACTCAGAAAACCTCTTCTTCCGACTGACTGCTTATAAAGTGAAATGAAGACTATTACACTGCCACTTATGGAGACTGTACAATGGGGAATCAACTATATTATTGCTGTTTACTCGACATGTTTGGATTATATTGTCGTCAGTGACACGGCCTAGCAGACCTGAGCAGTCACATTGACAGATGACTCTGCGATTGAGCTTGTTTACCACTCAGCGTTAGCTTCACTTGTCATTTGACAATTCAGTTTTAAAACATTTTAAATCCCGATGCAGCAAACGTTAATTTGGTGGATAGACATCAGCTTGTTGTTGTTGTACCCATTCAACATGACTGTAACGTTATGCTAAACGTTAGCTACCACACAATCCCTAGCATCCAGCCAATTATTCATCTGGCTAGGTCAGCCGTAGCATTTCGGGAATTAAATTCACTGTTGTATGCTATCCATCCCAGAACATCAGCAGCTAACGTCATAGTTAATCCAGCTGGTCACTACACAGCATCAATGAGAGACGTCAATTTATCACAGGCTGAGGCTAACTCATCTGAATGAATGTAAGATGTTAAGTTACAACTGGGATTGCATACGAAACCAAATCTGTGAGTTTCACCTCTCTAGCATAGAAATAATCCAAAGGTTTGCCTGTAAGATCCACTAAAGATATTTGAAAGCTTTAATTCTCTTATCAAAGTGGGTGATGTTTTGGGTCAAAGTCTGCGAGGATTTTCTATAAGAGCAGATAATAGAAAGGTTGGTGCCACATCACTGGGTGATATTTGACCCTTAGACTCTGCAGTTCAAGTGAAACTGTGTGATAATGTTACTACATAGATATAGTGTTGATAGGATCAGTAGAGACCATGCACGGAGATAGCTTCATTGTGAAAGGTTGAGGGAGACTGTGAGATCAGATCCTCAGAAGAGAAGCTCTCTATGTAATCTTAATGGTGCTTTTAAAGAAGACAATAAAGCTCAGTAACAACATAGAGGAGCAGCTTATTTAAATGTAATCTCATTGTCATTGTTAAAATAATAACCACATTCTAAAGAGGTCAAAACTCCAGCAACAGCTTTATCACAGTTTCTTCCTGGGCCTTTATCAGGGCCATAAACACATTTAATCATAAATAACTATCTTATAGCAACCACTTCCCCTGAACTGTTGACCTGCTTACCTGACTCCTCAATTTGACTATCATGATAAATACAATTGGTTGTCATTATTTTATTTAATGTTTGAAAACATTAATTAACATTATTAATTTAAATCTTTTATTGTGAGCAGACTGATTGTCTTGCAGTCCTAGTGTGGTGCAGCATTTTGCTGACATTGCAGTGTGACACGGCTCTATTTGTTGGTTGTTTTGAAAATCTGCCTTTCCTCTGATACTGTTAAGTGGTGGGAGCAGAAGAGGTCGGACGGCACCATGAACGGCCAGCTGGACCTGAGCGGGAAGCTGATCATCAAAGCCCAGTTGGGCGATGACATCAGACGCATCCCTATCCATAACGAAGACATTACTTATGATGAGCTAGTGCTGATGATGCAGCGTGTCTTCAGGGGAAAGCTGCAGAGTAATGACGAGGTTACCATCAAATACAAGGATGAAGGTGAGTCAGGCCCTCTGTCCTAATTGGTCTTAGGGGTAAAAGTGTGAATGTTGAGATTGACCTGTTTTCCTTACACCAGATTATTTGTTATAAAGTAGTGTTTAATACACGATACTGATACTAATTACTTGATCAGGTCACTTTTCACTTGACAGTGTAATTTCTATAAGGGAATACAGTTGCTGTATTATTCTTAAAATATTGTCTTTTCCCTTTTTCTAGATGATGATCTCATCACCATCTTTGACAGCTCCGACCTCTCCTTCGCCATCCAGTGCAGTAGAATACTCAAACTGACTTTGTTTGGTAAGATGTTAAAGCATTTCCTTTCAGTTGCTCTCTTATACACACATCCACAGTGAATTGTTTCTTAAAGGAACCCAAACCTATTAAATCATGTGATAAACTGTAGCCCAAGATGTCTCAGGGCTCTTACAGCAACCCGTCACTGGAGGGCAGTCCAGCTTATGTTTAACACAACAAAAACCTCAGCTCTTCTCTATCCAAATGAAAGTTGTTTTCACTGCTGACTAATTTGGGTTGGAATTTCTGTGCGTTTCGTAGCGCGGGTTCAGCGGACAAGTGACAGGCGGTAGATGGATGTATTTACAAAAGCCCTTTGTGCCAGTTATACCGGTTCCCAATCGTAATCTTAAATATGTGCCAGCTCAGCTAAATCCACATTCATTATGTAGCCATGTAGCTATGTGACTTTAGGCGTAGGCCATAGAAGAATTAATTACATTTCACAATCAGTTAGCCTCACCCTAATATGTCAGGTTGAAGCCTGTTTTTTTTTTTGTAGTAACAACATGTTAACAAACTCTCTCAAACGACAAATAAAGATTGGACTGGGACAACAGGCAGAGGGTGAACCAGCTGCTGCAAGGCTGGAGACTGGTGGTGTTCCTGTGGGTGCTGTGACCCAATGCCCACAGAGGAGATTTCACAGACTGGATCAAGTGAAATTCACCTTTGGCTTTTCTGTAGGGTCTTTCCGTTATGTTGTCAGACACTTTTAAGAACAGTCTGAGCCAGTCAGTGGCAAAAACAAGCACTTTTAATGGACATATTATGACGGTTTGCAGTTGCCCGAAAGAATTGTGTTGCATTCTTCCTCAATACTGGATCAAATTCAAAACAAAACATAACAAAACAAGACATGGGAAAATTAGGTCCAGGATGAAAAATACTGAACCCTGTTACCCTTTAATGGTGGACTATATTCCATCCATCCATTAGCTATACCCACTTGTCCTTTGAAGTGTCAGGGGCTGGAGCTGACATTGAATTGTACTGAGCAGCCATGCCATCTGGGACAGTTTTCTTTCAATCATAGCAAAAGAAATACATGGCCAAATAAGGCCATATACACAATCTAAATCTGTAAATGTCAAAATACAACTTGATGTTTAACTGATTATATCTCCTGGTACTCCATTTACACATTACATGTGTTTCTCTTAATGTTCATAAGTTATTCTATTTCCTGTAAATGTTACTCATTTAAAGGGAGACTATGTCCCATTGTTGAACTGTTTGATAGTCTAAATTGTGCCGCAGAGCTTTCTCCTTCCTGCCAGGAAATAAAGATGAAGTAAAGATTTACCAGTATGGTAATATAGGCATAAATAAAAATGTTGCTTCCTCCCAATCAAATCTGAGTCCTGGCTCACTGAGGGTCATGACCTCACGTGGAACTGATATTCTTAGACATGTGTGGAGATTTAAAGCAAGCTAGAGTAGCTGAAATCTTGTGGCAGCCCTGTGTCTCAGCGAAGAGCCTTATGACCCCATGCATCTCTGTTCAGCATTATCCACTCAAACAGAGAAACTGGTGAGAAAAAGGAATGTCTGGCTCCAATCTCCATTCTCACAGTCGTTCTTTTACGATGGAAAGTTCACTTCTTAACGCAAATTTGTAGAGGGATAGTACGTTTTGGAGGAAGGGTAGGGTGACCCATGTGGTGCAGGTCACATAGTTTTTAACATTGTGGATAATTTTGTCCTGTGTTTCCTGCAGATTGGCAGCGTAATAATGGACCGGTTGGTTTGATTGATGATTTTATTTCATAGTAAGCATGACAAACCAGTTCCCTCTTGCCCAGAATTTTTCAGCTCCATTGTTAGTTAAATGCCTAGCTGGCAGGGTGTGATGATGAAGCTCCCTCTGTCAGCCTGGCTGCTATTGTTAATGTCTTAGTGGAATCAACCATGTGATAGATATAATCCCAAGTATTCGGAGTGTGGAGCCAAGAGAATTGGAACAGATCATCATTCATAATGGCCACATACTTGGTGAAGAACAGCTTTTACAGACAAATAACTGAGAAGCAGAATTCACGTATCCACCATGTCTGTTTTACGTTAGCAGATGTTACTGTATAATACAGTACTGTCCTGTTCTGATGACCAACTTTCCACTTAACATAATTAACAAATTAAAAAACATTCAGTCTAATAGAGTGAACACCAGGTATGTCCTTGGCTTCATGGGTGTATTTAACAACATTTTGCCTCAGTGTAAAGTTCACATGTCCCTCTGGTTGCAGTGTCTGTCAGTTTAAACACTTATTTGATTTGCCCCCGCTCACTTTTCTTTGGTTTACTATCTGCTAGGTTGTTGACACATTTCTGTACAGTGACCCAGATATTCCTGGGCTAGAACTATAACACCAATCGAGACCATGATCTATGTCAACGAGCAGCTCAAGTTCAAGACAACATTACCCCAAGTGGGAAATGATTGTAATTGATGGGATTCAGATTCAGTAATGTATAAAAAGGCTCCATTAATAAAGTTGTGGACTAGGGGATTGTTGTC